CACATTGTCCTCAATGTGAGAATACAAGTAAATCAAAATAAGAGCAAAAAGGGGGGAAAGGAACAATAATACCAAGTGGAGTGACAAAGGCGAAGATGTTCAGCTATGTGAGTACGCAACTGCGTCCCCCAAACTTGGACATGAAGACCTATCAAAATACAACGAATATACACAGGTAAAAGCATAGGTCTCTTAAGAAAAATCAAAACAGAAATGAAAACACTAAGATGAATGTTATTGCAAGGTAAAAATCCATACAAAATACAAATTGGCACACATGAGTCATAAGTTTAAAATGGAAAACAAAATAATGCCAAAAGCCGTGCATTTAGAGGGATGAAGTTGGCTTAGGCAATTCGTCAAACACGTGGTGTGCAAGACAAAAAGGAAGAGGGCCAAAGGTTGATATGGTTGGTGCATGGTGAGGGGCATGCATGCATGGGGCTTGGGAGTTGGTTTGGTTGATGTGGTGGTATGCAAAGATGCCGAGAGGGGATTGTTTGCTGTGAGGATTGGGTTGGCATGGTTTATGGGTGGATGCCGAGAGTGAGTGGTGTGCAGGTTGGTGGAGTTCGAGTATGGTTTGTGAGGTGGGTTGGTATGTGGAGTTATGGGTGGTGGCTTGGTGTTGGGTTAGTTTAGTGTGTGCAAGGTGGTGTGCCAAGGGTAGGTGATGGTTTGTGGGTGATGAGAGGGTGGCCGAGAGGTGTGGCTTGGAGTGTGGGATGAGTTAAGAGGGACGGGTTAGTGGAGATTGCATGGTGGTGAGGGTTGCTAGGGCTCGGGGGTTTGTATGGTGGATGAGTTGGTAGATGCCGAGAGTGAGTTCGAGGGCTCAGGATTTGTGGGTTGAAGGCTTTTCGAGCACTCGAATGGGATCTTCGAGTGCTCGAAGATCCGGCAGTGGGTGCGGCACTTGGAAGAGGGCAGCTGCGAGCACTCAACATGGAGCTGAGATTGCTTGAAATTGAGGCAGAGGGTTCAAAATTTTGGGTTGGAATTTTCAAGCACTCAACTGGACTTTGGAGTGCACGAAATTGGCATCAGTAGGTGCGGAAATGAAGTTGCACACCATGGAAATTGAATGGTTGCAATGTGAAGGTAGTGAGCTTGCATGGATGCATCGTGAGCTTGTATGATTGATGGTTCACATTTAGAGCACTCCAAATGGGAGCTAGAGTGCTCTAAATGAAGGCAGTAGCTTGGGATGAGATTGGTTCACATTTAGAGCACTCCAAATGGGAGCTAAAGCGCTCCAAACTTGGGCAGTGAGCATGCAAAATTGGTGTGGTAATTTGGAGCAATCTGAATGGGATTTGGAGGGCACAAAATTGGCTAAGTAGCTTGGAAATGAATTGGCACTTGGAGATTGAATGTTTCAGCCAACTTGAATGCATGGAAGATCTTGCATGGATAGATTTTGAGTGCATGGATGAAATGGATTGAAATTTTTGCATGGATGGAAAAAAAATTTCAAACTTTGCACTGCACACAATGCATGTATGAGTTTAAGAAAATTTTCAAGCTTTTTGCAACATGATGCAAAATGGATAGAATTCTCAAAAATGAAAATTTTAAGCATAGAGAATTTTTGAAAATTTGCATGTTAGTCCTAAATTCAAGCCATGCATGGAAAATTTGAAACTTGACACATTATTCCAATCCAATGCATGGTTGGATTTTGAGAAAATTTTCAAGCCTTGGAACATCTCTTCAATGCATGGATGGGATTTGGTCTCTTCAAATGCATGGATGAATGTAGGAAATTTTTTTTTTAAACCTTGCACTTCATCACATACTGCATGAATTAAATTTCAAAATTTTTTTTAAAACTTTGCAAATTCATTCCAATGTAATGCATGGATGGAAAATTTTGAAAACTTTTCAACTTCTTTCTAATGCATGGACAATGTTTAAACTTTTGAACTTCAGTCCATTCTAATGCAAGGAGGGAAAAATTGAAATTGCGCATCATCTCAAATGCATGGAAAGTTTTTTAAAAAAAAAAAAAACTTTGCAACTTCATTTTAATCCAATGCATGGAAAATTTTGAAAAAAAAAAAACTTTGCAACTTCATTTTAATCCAATGCATGGAAAATTTTGAAAATTGTTCACAAGTTGCAATTTTTCTCTAATGCATGGAGAATATTGAAAATTTTTCAAACATTGCAAATGCATGGAAAAATTTTAAACGGTGCAAGAGTTTCAATGCATGGATGGAATTTGGGAAAATTTTTCAAAAATGCATTAAAAATGAGACATTATGCACATGAGTAGCATTCCCAAGATGCGGTGAAATTGCTAGAAAGCGATGGAAACTTCCGGGAATGAAAATTAGAGTTGAGAAGGTCTAAGAAGCCAGTCTAAAATTTTGGAACACGACTGAAGAGATTTCCAGAAAAATTAAATTTTTGGCTTTTCTTAACCATTTCCCAGAAAATTTCAAGGCACGAGCAATTTGAGAAGGTAGGGAAGCTTGGAACATCGAAAGAATTTCTTCCCTTGCTTTGCTAAATTTAATGTCGATAGCTAGACGAAGTTAGAGCAGGTACTAATCCTCAAAAATCTCGATAGTTAGACACTCCGAGATCAGGTTAGTCCTCCTTACCCTATACCATGTCTCTCAAGAGATTCAAGCTTCCCCAAATAGGATAATTCTTTTAAAAGTGAAGAAGGAAGAGCTTGAAGACAAAAGTGGAAAGAGGTAGCGGAAAGACCTCAACCCACTCTTCATCCTCAATGAAGAACTTTGGATTATGGGGCTTATTTGGATTATAGGAAGATGGAGTAGGTGAGAGTGCACCTAGCAAAGGCTTTTGAAGGGTCATATTGAGCACGGGAATGCTCGACAACTTATCCTTTAAAATTTCAACATCCTCCTCACACTTATCCAGCGGTTCGGGCTCAACAACTTGAGACAACTCAAGTGAGGGAATGGGATGAGATGCAAGCTCCCAAGAAAGAGATACATTTGATGTTGACCAAGGAAGAGAATGAATAGGTGGATGAATATTAAGCAAAGAATTCACCTCCGAAATGGAATTGTCAACATTAAAATCCTCACAATTGAAATGAGCCAAACAAGCTTTTAGAGGATCCTCCATTGAAAGAGGTGCATCAAGCAAAGGATTATTTAGGGGTTGTTCTGGAGTTTTAAAGGATGCAATCTCATCATCTTTTTCCTCATTTTTAACCACAAATTCTTCCATTTTATGAGTGGCAACAATTTGATCTTCAACCACCATTTTATCATTTTCACATGTAATAACCACTTGATCATTCTCATGATGAAAGTTACTAGGAATAATCTCATCATTCATAGAATTTTCTTTTGGATTGGCCATAAATTCAAATGAAAATGTTTCCTCCTCTTCATGATTTTTAGCATTAATCCTTTGTTGAATTTGAGATATTTGGTCATCTATCATTGCACTAACTTGGGACTGGTGATATGGTACCACTTGATTGATAGACTCTACTGTGGATTGCATGCTAGCAAGGGAGGCCAATAGTTGATTGTTGGAGTTCATCATTTGCTTATGCATAGACTCCATCATTTGTTTGTTAGCAACAATTAGCTCATCCAATGGAGATGGTGGAAAAGGAGAAGAGGGCGGGAAAGAATGATCATTGGGTTGAAAGGTTGCATATGAAATTGTGGGGTTGAATTTCCTATGTCATGCCACAAGAAGTTTTGTTGGTCTCCCCAACCCGAGTTATAACCATTGAAGTATGGATCACTACCCGGTTCAGAGAAATTTACATTTAGTTGCTCTAGATAAAAATCCGAGAATTGTCTCGTTGGAAGAAAATCTCTTGTATGATGTGTATTACTAGAGCAAAAAGCACAAAACGCATGTGGTGTATAGAATTGAGTTGGGAGATAATTATTCTCAATCTAGGAGTTAAACATCAACAACACACAACATAATCAACACAACAATTCTTTATCATCAACTCCACATACAATGATATTCCCTTTCTCCTCAATTATCAAGACAAAAATTAAAATGGCCACGACAAGGACCGATGCTTGAACACGAAATTAAAACAATAATATAGCCTCAACAAGGGCTTGCAAATAAATTAACTACTTCTAAGCTTAACACATGCACAATATCCACAATTCGAAACTAGAAGTCACGAGACTTACCTGGGGTCTTCTAGACTTACAATTTGCAAGCAATCCCACGGCGAGCTTCGAGTCCCTAGAATCTTACAACACGAAGATGATCAAAACACACAAGGAATATTCACAAGACACAATATTAACAATCAAACTAAAATTAACCCTAGAACTTTGGTCGCTAAACCGTTTGCAGTCCCCAGCAACGGCGCCAAAAATTGATCGGTTGGTTAATTAAACATCAACCTTCGCAATAGCACGAATCATTGTAAAATAGGGCTATTGGTCGAGTAAGTCGAACCACTGGGACTGTGCTAGTCTTAAGGCAACCTAAGTATCTAGAGTCATTTTAGAACGATAAGGTGTAATAAGGAGTTGTTGATTGGTTTGTCACTAAGCTAGTAATTGAAGTGTGCATAAAATAAGAATGCTAGTAAATGAGAGTTAGAGATAATAAAAGGGGAAACTAGGGAAGTGAATCCACCTACGCCCTAAATACATGCTAAATCAAGACTAAATTGGGATAAACACTATATAAGTAATGATCAAGAATTATGTAGCAACACATAGTTGCTTCATAACCAATAAAAAGTTCATGAAATTAAAACAAGAATGGTCTATCAAAAGACAACACATTTGAACTACCTAGACTAGGGTGTAGTATCAAATACATTAACTTAAGCGAAAGACCATCAAGCATTCAATCAAATGATGAAGCACATGAAGGTAAGAATCAAGCATAGTCCATCAAAGGAGGTACCTAAGCAATGGAATATCAAGCTTCAAAATCAACATGTCTTGAAAACCATTCATAGTTAATATCTTCATTGTCACTATGAAAATAAAAGCAATAAGACTAATGTAAGAATCATCAAGACAAGCTAAATAACTCACATCAATCATTTAAGCATGAATATTCATTACAAGAAGTAATAAGCTCTTAAACTATGAAAAGACCAAAGTTTATACATCATAATCCCCAAAATAGAACCTAATCTAGAACATGAACAAAAGGGGAGGCTTCATCACCTCCCTAGATGAGGTTTAGTTACCCATGAGTGAGCTAGAAAAAGGAAGAAGCAAGGCTTTCCCCTCCATTTTCGAGCTTCCTCCTTGAAGCTTCAAGAACTCCTCCTCTTTGCTCTCTTCTCTCTCCACTATCTTGCAAAATGTAGCTTAATGTATTGTGTGGCTTCCCTCTCTTATCTTCTAGAGATAAGGCTCAAAAAATCCCCACCAACCAACATCTCCAACCAACCATTAAAGAGGGAAATTAGAATTGAGGAACCCAAGATGCAAGTGGCTAAAAATGGGCCATTTACGGATGCAATTCTGCCCTAATTTCGAGCACTCGAAATAAGGGCTCGAGCACTCAAAATTGGAGCAGAATGCTCCATTCTTGCCTTGCTCCGCCCAGACCTACTTTGGTTAAACAGCCATAACTTTGCACTCCGAACTCCGAATGACAAACCGTTTAAAGATTTGGAGAGCTGATTCAGAGCTTTAAAAACTTCATGTTTTGATGAAGACCCAAATCTCAAGTCTGGTTGGTCGAAAATGGGGAGAAAGGCAGTACTTCAGTGCTGCCAGGCAGTTCTACGCACCTCTGGTAACAAGGCCATAACTCTCCGCTCCAAGCTCCAAATGATGAACCGTTTGAAGATTTAGAAAGCTAATTCAGAGCTCTAAATCTTTCATGTTATGATGGAAGTCCAGTTCTCGACCTTTCTGGGTCAAAATGGCGAGCAAAATCCTAACTCCACTGCTGATCTCGTGAAGCAATCTGCCCTAATTTCGAGTACTCGAAATAAGGCCTCGAGCACTCGAAAATTGGCCAGAATGCCCTATGCTTGGTTTGCTCCGCCCGGACCTACTTTGGTAAAACGGCCATAACTTTATGCTCTAAACTCCAAATGATGAACCGTTTGAAGATTTGGAAAGCTAATTCAGAGCTCTAAAAACTTCATGTTTTGGTAGAGATCCAATTCTCAAGGATGGTTGGCCGAAAATGAAGATCAAGGCAGAATTTCATTTCTGCCAGGCAGTTCTGCGCACCTCTGCTCCAAGCTCCGAATGATGAACCGCTTGAAGATTTGGAAAGCTAATTCAGAGCTCTAAATATGCCATTTTATAATGGAAGTCCAGTTCTCAAGTTTGCAAGGTCAAAATGGCGAACAAAGTTTGGGCTTCACTGCTGCCAGAATTTCAGAATTGTGCCTTTTGATGGCCAAAACTCTACAAAGCCTTGATTTTGCTCCTTTTTTGGCAAATGGACCTGAAAATATATACATACACACAAATGAAGATAATCTACTTAAATAATCAAACGATGGACTTAACTAATGCAATTTAGGGCCCTTGAATATACAATATTCGGCGCTTATCACACGGCTATTGTTTTTCCCTCTCTACATTGGCCACCAGAGTCTGCCAGCGAGCTTCATAAATGACGTGGATGGACAGATCATCTGCCACGTCATCGACAGATCAGCTATCACGTCATTAACAGACATCATTTTGTGCTTCAAAGTGAAACAATGGTAATCCCGCCTCAACGGTACGGATCAACTTCGTCCTCAAGTAGTAATCCCACTATACTTCCACATGCAACCTCAATGTGTCCAATCAGTTTTGTCACTGCCCCACCACATGCCACTAATGGTCATCATGCATCAAATCTTCACGACTTTCAAAATCACAGGCCACTAGTGCCACCACAAGCCATTAGTAGTACTCATGCGTATCAGTACCATCCTGGCTAGAGTTAACTTTCAAAATCACGCTCCGCATCTACCTCTATTAGCATCGATGTAACATCACCAATGCCACATTAGCTACATCAGGGTAAAAACACCAAATCTTTTCACTTTTATGATCTTTCTCCAAATTCAAGTTGGTTTTATACATACCTTAAGTTTGAGGAGGGTTGTTAGATTACAAAAGTGCTATTATATTCCTTAGCTACAAATTAGTTTTACACCTAACAGTTACTATGTATTTCTCCACCTAACATGTATAGATTTGTTCATCATTTACCTATCCCAAAACACATTTATGTATTCTTTATTTACTGCAATTCTATACAATATATATATTTTTTCATATTATTTAACATGCCCAATGTTACATTTTAATCATGGCTGAATAGATGAACTTTCAATTGTTAGTAAAGCTTAAAAGTTTGTAAAACTTAAAATAATAAAGAAAATAGAAATAATACATACTCCCTCGGTCCCATCTTAGATGTTCCTTTTGGTGAGTAGAATTTTTTAAGAGAACATGTAATTATTGCATTGTCCCTTTAAAAATTACAAAGCTACCATTTCAAGTTTAAATATATATATATAATTAAGTTTAAAAATTTTAAGAATATTTTATGGAAAGATGTGAAATATGTTGTTTAAACTTTATAAATGGACAAGTATATTGGGACAATCAAAAAAAGAAAGATGGACAATTATTATGGGATGGAGGGAGTATAATATATATATTTTTAAAGGCATAATGCATAATATATATATATAAATTTTTATAATTTTGAACCGATCAGACCTAGATCTGTTATCCATCGGTAGGGGTGCAAGTTGGCCGGGCTAGCCCAGCCCAACCGGAACCCACCCCAAAACATTTTGGGTTGGGCTCCCAATTTTAGAATTTTGGGTTAGGTTCGAGCGGAACAATGTTCAGCCAGACCCAATTCGGGTTGGGCTCGGGTTAGAATTCTCAATTTTAGAATTTTGGGTTGAGTTCGAGTTAAACAATGTTCAGCTGGGCCCAATTCGGGTTGGCTTCTTGGATTAGAACATTTTTAGCCCGAGCTTAACCCGTATAACCCGAATTGGGTATTTTAATTTTTTAATTCTTTTTAACCCTAGATCTATGTTTAGAGAATATATATATATATATATATATATATATATATATATATATAGCCGTTCAGAGAAGCAGCCGCCACCCCGCAATGATCACCACCATTAGTACGATGGCGTAGAATATGACAATGAGGGTTCCAACGACTGCGGAGAATATAAGGATAAGATTTCTTACGATCGACGATGCAGATTTCTAGCCTGGAACCTTTATCTCTCTAGCCAAACATCTGTGTCCTAAACCCTCTCTCTCTCTAACCAGACTCCCTCTCTCAGTTGTATGAAAATCTCTACTATTAAGGGATAATTACATGGGATATGTGTTTTTCTATTATAATTTCGATATATCATTGATTAGATTTTTCATATGAGTGCTTGTATTAAAAAAAAATTAATAATTTGTTGTTATAGCTTTCTTATATATATACATATATATATATATATATACATACATATTGGGTCAATCAATTTTTATTTATTTAAATTAATGAGGAAAACTTGTGCTTTTATTTACTAGGGTTAATTACAACCACACCCCCTGAGGATTGCCATATTGACAGCCATATACAACTTAGCCATTTTTTGGAAAAAAACACCCCCAAGGTTTACAAACTTGAATAATGACACCTCAAATATGATGAAAGTACATGTTTACCCTTTGACCATGTAAAATGACTAAATTACCCTCATCCAAAATATGTTTTCTTCTTCCAATTTTTAGATCTTCCCATTCATTCTGTGAGCCCTTCTTCCCCGCTATCCATTAAGCTGCCACAAGCCTATCACCGTCCCGTCGTCGCCCTCATCCGAGCCATCCACAGCCGCAGTCCATCAAGCCGCCACATACCCACAGCCGAGCCCACCGTACCGCCGTCGCCCTCATTTGAGCCATCCATAACCGCAGTCCATTCCTCCATCGTCTGCTAACTACCATCGCCACCGCCGCCGAGCTGAACCAACCTTGCTCACCGCATCCGAGCTTTGCCACCACTGAGTCCAACTCGGACGAGTCAGCGCCCGTCACCGCCGCTGTCAGTCAACCGCGCCCGTCATCGTCATTCCGAAGTTAACCGAGCCAACTGCCGTCGATTCCATCCAGCCAAGCTATCCACCGGCGTTCAGTGTTGACAGCCCGTCACCCACAACCGAGACCGTCTTCCCGTCGCCCACAGCCAAGGCCATCTTAAACACGGCCGAGCCCTCACCGGCCAAGCCCTCACCCGCCGCCGCGAGTCCTCCACGACCGAGCCATCCACAATCAAGCTCTCCACTGGTTGAGCACTTCATTTTGCTCGCCGGCTGTCGTCCTAAAAGTGCTTTCCGAATCGTGTTGGATAGTCACCCATCACACGAATCTAAAACCCAACTCCACGACACTTGATGACGGCGGGCGGCTCAGCCGGTGAAGGGCTCGGCCATGAGAGGAACTGCGACATGGAATCAGCGGGCAAGAATCGAGATTGGGGGTTTGAGAGATACTGTGTGTGTGTGTGTGTGAGATAAAGAGAAATTTGGATTTGATTTACGGATTGGGAGGGTGTGGAAGAAGAGGAGGAGGAACCGGGTTGAGAGAGAGATGAGATGCGAGGGTAGTTTGGTCATTTTAGGTGAGGATTAAAATATATCTTAGGGCATATTAGACATTTCATGTCATTAAGACTGTGTTTGGCTCCGTTTTTTTAAAATGGGGTGTCATTGTTCAAGTTCGTAAACCTAGGGAGTGTCTTTGTACAAAAAATGGCTAAGTTGTATATGGCTGTCAATATGGGAAACCTCAAGAGGTGTCATTGTAATTAACCCTATTTATTACTATTGTTTTTCATGCTTTCAGTCGTAGTGTTGGTATGATGCCGGTGTTAATTTATTCATTAGTAGTGCTTGAAAAAAAAAATTTTTTTTTGGGTACTTTTGTCTTCCTTGTTATGTTTTTATAAAATTTCAATTTTAAGTAACACATACAAAACAGTATACTTGTGAATTGATTATGTGATATATGCATGTTTTGCATTTTCAATGTAAAACAAATTAAACAGAAAAAATGTCAGTGGCATGCCTTTACAATGATAGGAAATAGTTCAATTGGTATAAGCCCTCATTCAGGAAAAAAAAAAAAAAAAAAAAAAAATCCTGTAGGCCTACCCGGTTTTGGGGAAGGAAAAAAAGAAAAAAGAGTTGACCCGAACAACCCGAAATTATCCGAGTTGGGTTTCATGGGTCGAGTCCAAACTTGGGCTATCACGGGCTGAGCGCAACCATAATCCGAAATGGAATAAGATAAGGACCATATTACCTGTTGAATACCCAAGTGAAGTGTCCACAAAGCGGCCTTGAATTTGTTAAAATCCCACAAAAAGTTGGGGACTTCTCAAAGTAATCTGCAGAATTCAAATTATGATAGTGGGATTTTAATTCATAAATCACTTATAGATGGAGGTCAGTGTGAATGGAGAAAGATATACAAGATGTCAAGAACTGTATAAATGGTGGTATGTGACTCTATGGTCGTTATCAACGTGGAAAAAGAAAGAGTTGTGGAAAAGGTTACCAGCTGAGTGTAGTATAATTTTTTTTTTATGTTCGATTACATAAGATTGGAATTTTAAAATTAAAATTTATATAATTGAATAAAAACAACTCATAATATCAATTTCAATTTTAATTTCAAGACTCTAAATTTATGAAGGCAAACACAGCCTTAGTTGGTATCAAGCTTTTGGAAAAGCCACCAGATTCTAGTTAACTCGGCTCACGGCTTGTAGTGTATAGCACATGCATACAAGATATTTTATTAGCAGGGATTCTAGAAATTTTTTCCTGTGTATAAGTATAAAACACAAGAATAAAGTACAAATTTTTTTTCCGAAAAGGGAAGAATAAAAAACTTGGTATAACGAAAAGTCAATGTTTTGTACAAGCATATAAATATAAAAATAAGATAGCAAATTTATTATAAAATATAAAATATAAAATATAAAATATAAATGAGAGTGTGAGTTTTTACTAAGTGTTCATTTGGTTAGCTTAAAATGTTTCATTCATAAAACACATTGAAAATTTAAAATATTTCATTCATAAAATACATTGAAAATTTATTTTCACGTAAAAATTGTATCATTATATTATATTTTTCTGTTATGCTATCATCAGTTGATACTCTTCTTTCTTATTCAGTCTCCAAAAAAAAAAAAAAAAAGTGAGTTTTCTTTGTTGACAAATTAAGACTCCTATTAGGTTACAATTTTCTTGCCTTAAAATTATGACTCTTTTTAAGCTAGACTTACAAAGAAGTAAGCTAATTTAATAAGAGAGTCCTAATATATAATACACATTTTAAAAACACAAAAAATCAATTACTGAATATGTATTTGATAGTTGGTATATATGTACGGAGTATAAGTCAAACTATATAAGTTGGCAATCCCACTCAAAAATTTAAGTTGTTAGGTGAGACTAACACCCAACTCATATATACTAACATTTTTTTCCACTCGAACTCGCAAAGCCTTTGTTATTGTTCAAATCACCCTGCCTACCCGGGGTGAAGACCTAGACACTCTCTGGACTAGACGTTTAGCGTGACACCGGATTAAGAATTTAGTTTGGTTCTGATATCAATTGTAACGGGTTAGATGATTCGTAATCTACACCCAACCCATATATACCCATTCGCTTTTTCAAAATATATGCCATTTTATTTTTAAAATTATGTCACATTAACTATTACTACAAAAATAAGGAATAAATTAAAGTTATCGAATAAATAATAGTAATACTTAATTTATATGTAGTCCACGTTATATCAGTGTCTTACTGTTAAGATTTTACAATGTTCTGTGAGTGAAGGTTTAGAGAGAGAGGTTTATGCAAAAAGGGAAAGAACACATGAAATGTAAATATAAAACCAAAAGAATATTGAACTTACAGGATGCAAAGCTCTGTATCCACGCCAGACTCGATATCTGACTCTCACCCGATCCAAATCTCAGCTTTATAAAAAGCAGAAGACGCCTCTCGTACAGTTCAATTATTTTGAGTGCAAAAAATGAGCGGTGGAACAGCGACCAAGAGTCTTGTTCATCAAATTAAAAGAGTTCGTTGGAGCAAAGACGCGTTGTCGTACAATTGACTAGGGTTGACACTTTTTCTCTTTTCCTTCCTTTTTGTTTTTTTTTAATTATTATTATTTTCTACTTCCTTCCTTTTTACTAACACCCAAAATACACTAAGGGCCCGTTTGGGAAGTGTAATGTGATATAATATACTGCCCTAGCCTAGAACAGAAGAAATGTTTTGTAATGTGATGTTCTGAAATAAGAACAAAACATGTTTGGTGTTCCAAGTTTGCTCTACCGAATCATGGAATAAAAACATGGTAGAACATGTTCGGTAATGTATATTGTTCTAAGAAATATGAGAACAAAACATGTTTGGTGTTCCAAAGTGTAACCAAAATTAATTTGATGAATTAATTATTAAATATGTTGGATTAAAAATGTTTTTAAATAATATTTTCTTAAATACATTTTTTCTAACTTTATTAAGTATAAAGTTAGAAAAAACGATTGTATTATTTTAACATATTGTTCCTCCATTTATCTTAATTTATTATAAAAATCATTAAAATAAATTAAAAATTCCAAATATGGAACTGAAATAAAGTTTCAATATATCATAGTTTCATGAATTTTAATATATTATATACATGAGTATCAAAACTATTACAGCATTCGTAAACAGTCATAATAAAAGTTCATGAAATAAAATTAAACTTTCAATATTACATCATTTCTCAACAGCCACAATAATAAACAACAACAACAACATGAGCAAAAATAATAAGAATATAGTTATAGTAAGACAACAACAACATCCATAGATAATGTACTTTTGCCGATTTTGTTGAGCTTGCATAACAGCAACTACATCCTCCAACTCTTCCTGCACATGACCACCCACTTCCAGACGTTGGTGCATGTCATCCAACCATATAAATGCACGATCATGTGACTAAATTAGAAAAAAGAGTTGTACATTATTAGAATGCACCTGTAACACTAAGATGTAGTTAAAATATTCTTATTAATGCAAAGAAAATTGTATACCTCCCAAGCTGGACATCTATAGAATGATCATCCATAATTCTTAGAAGTTCCAGCCGTATAAAGACTCATTCAACCCCTTCCACATGCACAAGGTGGCCCGTCACCTTGTATCTTATACATGACTGCATATGCAAACTATAAGATTGATCCAAAGAAGTTAATAAAAAAGATAAAGTTAATCAAAATAGTTATTACAGTTATCCTCATCCTAAGAAAGAAAAAAAATAAAGTAGTTGTTATAATTATTCAAATATTAACAAATGGAACAAGTATAAAGTAATTATTACAATTTTCCAAACAAACTAAACATGTAAATCATATTTCAAGGGTGATGACTTGCATTCCATATAGTATCGACAATATAATCGCGTACAATATCCATTGGTCGCGAGCGAGACTGCGTCACATTAGGTTGAACATCAACTTCATCATCTCCAAAACTTTCATCCATCATTGCCTCCACAGTTGCATCATTAAATATTGGATCTACATGCACCTCCTTTCTTATAAAGTTATGAAGTGTGCAGCAAGCTAAAACAATAGCAACTTGAGCTTCAAACTTATAACGGGGCATGTGCTTTAAGATGGGGAATCTCATCTTAAGCATCCCAAAACAACGCTCAATTAGATTTCGTAATGACGAGTGCTTGTGATTATAAATTTCCTCTCTACCTTGGGGTTGCCGATGAGCTCTACGGTACTCTTGGAAGTGGTACCGTTGGCCCCTGTAGGGAGCCAAAAAACCCGGTTAGTTGGCATACCCGGAGTCTACCAAATAATATTTCCCTGCCATTTTACAAACTATAAGGCACGTTTGGGAACCATGATATTTAAAATAAGTATTGCAAAATTATTAGATAAATGACATTTACCTTTTGGAGGCATTAGGAAATGCAAATCCTCATTATTAATTGTCTCGTTCAGTATCTTAGAATCATTAGCGGACCCCTCCCATCCAGCTACGACGTACGTGAACATCATATCAAAATCACAAACAGCCATTACATATTGTGTGGTATCCCCCTTCCTACCACGAAATGGTATTTGCTAGTCCACAGGCACGTTCGCATGGACATGAGTTCCATCAATTGCCCCAACGCAACCCTTAAAAAAAAGGTGGTATTTTTTTGACTTCCTTATATGGTTAGGAACTTGGGTAAAATCTGGGGTGACAATAATCTGTTTCCCTAAATCACAGACTTTTTGTAAAACCGCATGGAAGTATTTTGAAATTGTATAGGTAGAGTGTTAAAATCTTTTTGCGACCACACGATTCCTTTCATTATGAGCTAAAGTAAGCAAAAATATGCCAACTTGTTCATAAACACTTACACTTGTTGAGTCTTTCAACCCTAATGACTTAAGCTCCCCACACAACTTCAAAAAAACAGGGGTGGACATCCTAAACTTTTCAAAACATCTATTTTCATGTCCATGCAAGATCTCCATTATATATGCTTCCCCGATTAAAAGAGAATCCCTACAAGGTCGTTTCTCGTAATGTTTCTTATAATAGTCCAACATACATGCCATTATGATGACACACTCATTCTCCTCATCACCATCATCATACAAGTCAATTGTTGTCCTAATATCCATCTGTATAGTATAACATTTAACAAACATTATAAATTACAATAATCTCAAGCTTTGTTAAACCAAATAAAAATTATTAGGGCAAGACAACAACTAAAATCAAAACAAGCGAAATAGCTATATTGTCATTACACTGAAACCAAATAACATGTCAACGAATGTATTTAATATTACAATCACCCAAAGTCATAGCAAAAGATAATAAGAAATAAAAGCGATGCACAGAAAGTCATAATATGTAGTAGTACAGTCATCCAAATTCATAATAAAACCAACATGTCAAGTCAAATTCCATTGATCCAACCAACCCTCTTTTCATCCGGAAGGTCATTAAGAAAGAAATCCCTCCAAAGTTCATCATTACGTAACATCTAGGTGACCTTGGCATATTGTTTCATATCAATGCCCTCCAACTTATTCAAATGTAACAACATAATTTAAAATCACCCTTTGTCTTATCTGGAGAATTGACTTCAACCTGCCCAGCTTCATGCCCTATTTTCATATTAGATGATGAAGAAGCGACTATGGCCCTTTCAATTCGATTTGTTTTCTTTCTACAAGCCTCACTCATTTTCTCCATGACACGATCCATTGTAGAGGCAAAACTCTCTCCTTGGTTTCTTACCACGAGGGTCAGGAGAAGGACTGAACTCATGACCGCCTAACTCAGCAAAATCATCATTAAGGTCAAATGAGGTATGTGTGCCTTCATGGTGTGTAGGGGTTTGGTTGACAATGGGTGGACTATAAGAAGTATCGACATGTGCACCTGTAGCGTGTGTGCTTCCAAATATGGTGGTGAGCTTATCAAAATGATTACATGCCTTCTTTCGATACTTACCATATTGGGAATTCACCTACAAATTATTAAATTACTATTAATATTAATTTAAGTATAATTTTTTGTAAAATCAACATAAATTTATTTAAAAAACTAACCTTGATCAATCTAGTCCATCTTTCATTTTCAACTATAACCATGCCCGTCTCAGTATTGTACCCCACGCTTGTTTCTCCTAACAAACTCATAAAGGCTCTGTAGTCTACCCTCAGGTAGTTGAATTTGCTCTTAAGTTGTTTCAGTTCATAGTTCTTGCCTGTACGGATAGTCATGCCTTTCCGTATATTCTTCCAACCATTTGGAGTAAAAGTTGTGTTATTCCGATTACCAGCATAGACTTCTTCCTCCATACAGATGATGAAAGCTTCAAGATGGGAATCATCCCATACTAATTTCCCATCATCGGTATTGTCTGTAAGGTCCTCTATTTCGGAGTCTACCACATTGTCAGCATTGATATCCATCTAATTATATAGTTTTAATAAAAATGTGTTAAAAGGGTCATTAACAACTGTAATCTTATTTTTAACATCGTTTTAACTACACAATTATCATCACGCCATTAAATGTAAAAACAATTTGAGTTGTGATACTTACATAGTCCGATAATTAGACACATCCTATTATATTTACGTAAGTTGGGAATGATGTCATCGGATTTATATATATATCTGGGTTTGAAAAATAACACACCTCAAAAATTAAGAAATCTCCTTTTTTGTTTATTTGTTTGTTAAAGGGTGCTAGACTCAAATTAAGTAATTCTCTTCCCTAACTGATCGAACAGTGCTTTAAGTTTGGAGTTCTTTGATCTTTTTATTCTTCACCATAATGGTATGCAGAAGTGATTGTAAGAGTACTTTATTCCTAATGTTGCAAATTATATTAGAGTTAGTTTCAAATTCTTTTCCTTTTCTTTTTATGGGATATAATTTGTTCTTATTAACAGATATCTATTTTAGTAAAGTAGTTCTTTATAGGCAGTTTTTTGGGAGAACGTTGAATATTTTGCTACAACTTCAAAGAAAAGGTGAAATAATTTGGAATATGTGGAAGTTTTTTGGGAACATAGAAAGATATTAATGTTATCCTAAAATGGATAGAGAAATTTACAATTCTGTAATATTTCTTATGTGATCAGTACTTGTATACTAAAAAAAATTGTACATCATCAGGTTGGGTAATAATAAGTTTTTTGATTAACATAAATTCATATTAAATTTGTCATTTAAAGAATTAAGAATATCTTTATTGTTGTAATATTTTATATGAGCAGTACTTGTTTAAAAAAAAATGTATGTGATTATATAAGATGGTTCATGTCAAACCCTTACTAACTAGAAATGCCATGTAGCATTTAATCATAAATCTGTATACAATGCACACAGGATCATTAACGACAAAGATGCATCAATTTAACAAAAAAATGCACACAGTGGCTATGCCTATATATAATTAATTATATATCTATATCTATATATATATATATATATATATATAGATGTATATACAATGCACACAGGATCTAACACTGTCACCGGGTTGCAATCAAAATCTTCAACAGTCCACTGTGAATTTTTTGAACATTCCACCATAAAATCCCAATTATTGAACATTTTAATTGAGAGACAAATTACAAAATCAAAGTAAGTTAGAAGCTTTGTTAAAAGAGCAAGTGGCTTGGCAGTTTGATGGTCCGGCGAAGCCACAGTACACCATAAATAAAGAGATACAAGAGACCATTCCTCAACAAATCAAGCAACAAGGTCTTCA